GGGTGGAGGAGACCACTCGAGACCGAGGCGTTCGACGGCCTGTGAGAGGAGGCGCATCAGCTCCTCTTCTATCCCGGCGCGGGTCCCCGTCGACTCTCTCGCGGATCCGAGAGATGACCAGTCTTCACTGTCAGAAGCGAGCAGTGAACAGGAGTCCTTCTCCTCCGCGGCGTCATCGGAAACAACAGAGCGGCCACTCGGCGGCAACTGAATGTCCGGCAGGGGCGGGGAGGGAGAGCGGGAAGCGGGAGGCGGCGGCGGCGGCCCGCATGTTTCCGCTGGGGGCTCCGGCGGCCTTTGAGAGCGGCGTTTCTTTTTACGCGGCGAGAGAATAGGCGGCGCGGGAGCGGTTTTCACTGCCAGAAGTCGTGCCCGCAGGGACGATAACGGCAGGCTTTCACAGAGGTCGCATCCTCCATCAGCGAGGGCGAGTTCTGCATGCTCGAGTCCCAAGCAGAGAGCGCAGATGACATGGCGGTCTCCGTCCTCGAGACGAGCGCGGCAAGAGCCGCAGGAAAAACGAGACATCTTTAAAAAGACGCTCGGCTCTTTTAGAAATAGAGAAAGGATACAATCGTCGGATGGCCTAGCTTGCTGGGCGGCTGAAGGTGGCGAAGACGGCCGGCTTCTTCAGGGTCCTTGAGCTCGCTAGAGGATGCCTTCTTCGACGGCGATGGCTTTTCTCAGGAACAGCAGAAGCGTGCAGCTTGCTGAAGATGAAATGAATCAACATATAAGCCTGGGAGAGCGCCTTATATACACCATGGCCACGCCCATTCTGGCGGGTCATGACGCAATGAGCGCGCGGGCGCCTCTCATTGGAAGCGGGTTCAGCCCCGCTCTCCCATAGGCTTAAGCAGTTCTCTCTGAGCGAACCAATGAGCTGCTAGCTAGCCCGCTCTAGGTCTGCCGCAGAGGAACTGCGTTGTGTATGGATACAAAATTATGAAATAATTTTTTGGCTTCAATATCTCAGCAAAGATGAATCTTTCCCGCAGCGTAAGCTAGCTTACGCAATACGAGAGAACCTCTCGTAAGAGAACCAGAAAGTAGCACAGCCTGCTTTGTTTACTGGGGTTACCGTGGTAAAGGCTGCATTTCTGCTGTTCCATAAGTGCCATTACCCTACATCGATACATGTCTACTACAGTCAAAAAGGAAATAAACAAAAAAAGCTCAAAGCAGAAAATAACTCAGGGCGGAAACTCTGATAACATTAGACTGTGTGTATGTACACTATACTCAATTACAAGCTTATCTTACATTTCTTAATAATCACCTCACTATCAAGAATAAGCATCAAGTGTGGGAAAGAAAGAATCACATTGTTTTCTCAAAGGCATTTGTCATCATCAGATCATGTGTGAAAATAACTCTGTGCATGTTTAAATGCCTTTGTGGACTGTTTGAAGCTTTTGAAGCGAAACGTGATATTATAAACTTCAACACTTGCTATTTGTTAACCCAGAGTTCATTACGAGGTAGCATACATAGAGGAAAGCCAGCCCCAGGACATCACTCAAATCCGAGCTCCATAAACATTGCCATGATAAGCTAAGAATTCTCCCCTGGATCCATTCCCTTTTTGGCACTGATCTCAAGACAGGAATCACAGTTAACGGGCCTGAACACCAGCGGTTTCAGCGCAATCACTACGGAAAGAACGCAGGAAGACAACATGGACATGTTAGAAACAGCTATTTATTTCTTTTGATTTAAGTTTTTAAGGAAACAGCCTATAATTTAAGCTTGTAGACAAAATACTTTAACCCCAGGGATCACAGACAAGGCTTAAGATATAGTCCCAGACTAAAATACATGTTTGAGCTCTTTTAATTGAAAGCAACTTGCACTGAGCAATCTTAAAATATGTCAGTGCCATTGTCTTGTCTCATTGGCACATTTATAAAAAATACTTATTTGTCCTAATTAAACTAAGGCCTAATCCTGGCTCAATCTAAGCCTTGTCTGTGAAACCAGGCCTAAAACACTGGACAATATTGGTGCAATGTGGGATTAAGGACTCTGTTATTTTGATAACATTTACTATACATTTAATATTTTGAAATAGGTTTTATTTTTATGTGTTCAGATTTCATTTCAATTATAGTTTATATTTCGAGTAATTTAGATATGTGCTTTTGTAATTGTTATTTTTTTAAGTACCGGTAAATATATTACTATTTAGGTTTAAATTATATGTCCATTTTAATTTTAGTTTAATTGTACTTTTTAGTTATTTCCAGTTATTTCCAGTTGCCAAGGCAAAATTTCAAAATTTCATTTAGTTTTTCATCTAATATTTACATTTTTATTTTATTTCATGGTTTGATTTCAATGAACAAAAATGTTTTTAAAAGTTTTTGTTTAAATTTTGAAAAGGGGTTGGGAAAAGGATATTGTGTTTTTTTGTGTAATTATTGACTATGCATTATATAAAATAATACTTATGTGAAAGGAAGAGGAGGAACTGGGGGGAAACAGATTGAGAGAGAGAGAGACTGGTGTGGACAAAGAAAAAAGGAAAAGATAGACTGTTGTGAAGTCAAAAAGGGGAGAGAAAAACCTAAAATTATATCCCTGCCTCCCTTTTGGGACCAACATCTGAAAAGTATCCAAAAGCTACATGTTATCCACAGCAAATAGCTGGCATGCTTGAGCAGAGGGGATTGTTTACTCTAGGAAGAACAAGATAGAGCAGCTGATGGGACAATGAAAGAGCAGAGAGAAAAACAGAAAATAAAGATGAAAAGATAGCCTATGTGACAGAAACCATCTTGACAAACAGGCATAGACAAACATACACTGTCCATATTCTATCAGCCAGTCAATGGCATTATATCTCTGGAAATTGCTGCTTCGTAATCCATGATGACTCCCAACACCCTCCCAAATGGCTTTTTCACCTATCCATCTCTAAATTGTAACAGCAGCAACAGTGATTTTGAATGGACCAGCGTGTTATTCCGGGCTATTTTCCCTCTCAATGCATGAGAGAACTGCTCTGAATCACAATCAATTTCCCACTGATGCTCATGCATAGCTCTTGGATACAAACTGCCAGACTTTCATTGATCTACTGATCTGCTTACATCAACACCGCTCTGGGTTATGAATTATTCTGACCCAATTGGTGACACCAAAACTAAAGCCATAGACTTTGATCACAGTCCTATTTACAGTTTATGCAATCCCTGCTGAAAGCAAACATCTTCAAACGGGGACGCAGTATTTAAATTTGAAAATGTAAGACTTTATAGTTACATTTCCTGAGCACAATACATGCTTTGATAAAGACATGAGGATAAAATGGAATTGTGTGAAATCTGAGCGACTTTTAAAATGTTTCCAATAATAATGTAATGCTATGACAAAGTTTTAAAAGTAGTACAAAGCCGGGTGCTCACTGTGCGATTTATAATAGTCCTTATGATTGTTACTTGTCAGATTGTACAAACATGATCCCCAATGTAATCCACCCACGTCACACAGTAAGATCACAGTTGTCATTAATGTCAGACTGTACAACAGTCACGACACGTTAAAAACGGACGCAAACAAGAAGACTCGTCAAGAGTTTTACTTCATCAATCAATGACACGTTCTGTAACAGTGAGGATTGAAACACGCTGGATTTCAATAGTGGCTGTAAAGAAATCTCTAACGTAAATTTTGGTCTTGGCTCATCTTAAAAAAACTAAGACTTTTTGGAGTAATTAAGATTTGACGGTTGTCGTAGTAGGACAAGTCACACTGCAGGACTGTGAGTCAAATCTTCTGACACTGCCAGAATTTTGTCGGAGGTAAAATTTGATCGCAGCGGTCATTAATTGTCTGTCGCTGATTCTGAAGATGTTAAGGTAACGAGTAAAGATTTCAGATTTTAGCCTAGGATCAGAGGAAGATGGCCAAATAGTGGCCAAAATCGTACAGTGTGAACCCGGCTTAAGGTGTGTTCGACTTGAAGAGGCGCTGCGCAGACAGATCGGTGAATGACATCAAAGTTGGGCAAGTGCGATCAGAGAGTAGACCGCCCGTATGCTTTCGAATCGCTCTCACAGTACTTTGATGTCATACTTTAATAGACATTTGTCTGCAGCGCTGCTTCAAGTCGAACACACCTAGGCCTATAGCATGGGCGTCAGTTTGGTTTGAAATGTGCTGGGGACAGAGACGCATTCGGAAGGGCATTTTCAAAAGTGCTGTGTACAATGACGCATTCATTCTTTTTTCTCTTTCGCGCAGGTCATGTTTTGAAAGACGATGTCCTGTAGCTTACTGATGTAAATAAAAATAAATGTATACAAAGATGTGATGATGTCCGACCAAAAATGTGATGGTACTTTGGGCTTAATTGGTTGGCAGAATTTTTGCCAAGCGTGTCGGAGGTTCTGGGTTCTAATCCGCACTCGTATAGTTTTTTTTCCCTCATCAAAACCGATAATGTTTATCAGTGATAAAGTATATAAAGATTCTTTATATACAACCACTGATAAACACTGATATCGGTTTTGATGAGGGAAAAAAAACTATACGAGTGCGGATTAGAACCCAGAGAAGCAGGGACACGTTTGTGTGCATTTTGAACGAATAGAATCTCCGCAACGGATTGAAGCGCGCGTCCGAGTGAAGACAACACATTTCAGCTTTACCTATATGTCTGGAATCTTTGCCTCATTTAATTGTACATAATTTTAATAACACTACCCCAACGTGCTATTCTTTTTTTTTTTAGCAAATAAATACACAAATAAATAGCCTACAGCTTAAAACGTCAGATATGTAACAAAACTTAAATGAATCCTTCTCCGTCTAAACGCGATAAGCAATTTATTAAGCAATAAAGCGTTTTTTTCGACTACCCGAGAGATCTACAGTCGTGGCATTGAACACATTGGGAACATGGAACTTGTCCAAGAAGTCTTCGAAATGCCCGCCCCCGATTCTGCCCAGCAGCGCGAGCGCGAGCGCGAGACTGACACAGAGCTTCACACTGACCGCTGCCTCTCAAACAGAAGACTGTAGGCTACTCAAGAGAAAAGTTTTATGGTGGACGGCTGGATCTTACCTTTTGGAGATAAAACTCATTATTGCTTTTTGGGTCATGATAAACTTATATTCATCAACCCACTAGGTGAGTTGTTTTGATTTACTCAATTGTCAGATTGACGACAGATTATTTTCGCCTCAGCATTTTGAATTATCAACACATTTAAGATCAAACCTTCTATCAAAAGTATACTAAATTTGCGTTTGTTTAGTGCGTACTATTAACAGCTAACCAGTGTTAATTTGGTAAGAAGGCTGTACAGACTTGTCGTGTGTGATTGTGTGCATGACGGAGGAAACCTAATCTTTGCTGCTGTAAAATTAGTATGCGCGCGCCACTGCATACTTACAGTTCATGCCCCTTATGAGCGGCAGTCAAATGATGATTTGAATTCTTTATGATGAATTAAGATTACTTAATAACATACTTTAGATCATGAGCTTGATTCAAAATTAGTTGTTTTTTTAACTGATCAGCAGAACATGCACTCTTTTGCAACTTATATGTTCCCTCACTGTTCCTTTTTAGTGAGGATGAATAAACTAGGATGACATTTCTGTGAAGCAATAAAATCCAAAGTTCACAAATGATTAGATCAATGGACTGTAGTGAAAACCGCTTCAGCAACATTTCAGTACAGCAACATTGATCTGTCCTTGTCCTAGGCTATGTTTAGTTAATGTTCAGATGAAAATTAAAATGAAAATCTCCGTTAACTAGTTAATCAACTAGTTTTTATCATTGTGCTTTTGGATTTGTTTAGATTAGTAAATCATTTTGTAGATAGCATTTAGGTTTATTAACAAATTAAAGTTAAAGAAGTGTAAATAAGATAATAAAGAGAATAAAGATGTGAGTAAAACTGACCCAGCCAGTTGCTGTATATTTTTTTCACATAAAACCATCATGGTATTTTCCATCATGGACTCACTCTGCCAGACGGTCATGCTGAGTGCTTTGCGTAAAAATAGGGAATGTTCAGATGATGAAATGAGTATATTTGTAATCATGATTTACGCCTAGGGGGCCCTTTTTTTCTTTAGACAACATGAGATACCAGAACAAAGTGGAGGTCATTGGGTGAAAAGGAAAAATGAGGCCTTATCTTGAATGTTTGTTCACCTAGTTTGCTAAGTTATAGTGTAGCCTAGCTGATCAAGATTTAGTTTTGGGCAAAGGGAGAATGATGTTAAGAAATCCCACTTGAACCATTTTTCGGTTCAAAAGAACAAATGTTCAGTCAGTGTGACTGATGTTCAAATCACTTATTTTAATGACATCATATGAATCTGCAGTGGACGGCTGCAAAAATCAAATGCTGTTAAGATCAGACAGATCAACTTTAATGCCCACATGAAAGAAGGCAGACAGTCCCACAGAAAGAAAGAAGAGGAAAAACCCTAAACATGTTTCCAATCTGGGATGTGGGTACTGTACTGGATGTCTGTAATAGACAGAGATGTTTCCCCCAGGAATGCATTCACACACACAAGTTGTATTAGACTGCGGTTTACTGGTTGACGTGTGCCTATCCTTCTTTGAAACAATGCACAGCCATTTCCACAGACATAATTGCATTGTTTGCATCCACTAGAAACAGCTGCAAGAATTATGTGACAGTGTGTTTTGGTTTATTGCCGTTTGTCATGTCAAGAGTCAACAGCAGCCCTGCTGAGTGTCAGCGTACGAGTTGGTTATGTTATGTTTAGCACATTACATGATATATGCCACCAACCATTCCCATTTCTCAGAAGATGTTGGGGAAAAAAATTTATGTTTGGGGACAATGTTGTATTAATAAATTCATTTTAGACCATAGATCTATGGACAGATGTGATTTCATGTTTGACACAATGTTGACCTAATACTTGAATATGAATACTTCGAAACACAATTTTATTTTATTTATATACAAAAGTTTGGAGTAATTAAGTTTTTATTTTATCATAAGTGTCACCTAGGCTGAATTTATTTGACCAAAATACATTAAAAACAGTAATATTGTGAAATATTATTACATTTAAAATAACTGATTTCTATTTTGATATATTTTAAAATGTAATTTATTCCTGTGATGGCAAAGCTGAATTTTCAGCATCATTACTCCAGTCTTCAGTGTCACATGAACAGAAATCATTAATATGTTAATATGTCACAAACTTTTGACCGGTAGTGTAATAGGCTATTATTTAATACTAGGCCTATATTATTTAAAACAGACACAGTAATATAAATAATAATATAAAAATAAACACTGACACTGTAAACACACACTAGGTCATTTCTAGGTCACTAAAAAACATATTTGTTTCATAAATACTCCTCTCTAGAAATACAGTACCTAGCAAATGAAGAAAAACCAAATGCTAAGACATTCTGAAAATCGTGTTGTTGTTTTTTTTTTTTGTTAAATTCAACTTTTCACTCAAATTGTTATGCTGATAATATAATTTGCAATTAAAATATTTATTTAATTGGAAAAAAAAATCATTAGTGGTCAAGACTTTTGGACTTTTGGTCTGCTTTGATCCTGATCTGTGTTACATATCCACCTGTTTCCCTCTCTCATACAGGACGTTTATTGATTTTACAAGATTTTTCAAACCGGGACGTCTTGAGTGGACTAAAGCCAGCAGAGGGGGATTCAGGGTGAAGGAAGGGAAGAGGGATTAGGGGCTAATCCTGGACATGACCAATCCTTAAGGAGCCTCCGTCAAGCAGTACTATTGCCCAGATTATTACATTTAATTTATTGCCTTTTAAAGACCCTTTATCTCCCCTCGGGGATTCCTGGCGAGTGGGCCGCTGGATTTGAGTATCTTAAAAAACAAAGGATCAGGAGCAGCAGCCGTTGGGAGTGGAGGAGCATGAGGAGAGTATACATGCGGGGATAAAGCAACAAGCCTCCCTGCCGTCTCACACTCCAGCATGGTGCAGGTCAAGGGTCACTGAATGAACTTGGATTGGGAAAGTATGTGGTCACATTGATTACACAAAACTGATTAAGGTATGTGGCTTCTGTATGTTTTCAGTTGTAAAAATTGTTTGTAGTGTTTCTCCCAGGACCAAACAGTCTATGATTAGATTTTTAACCCGACGCTAATCAGGTAAAGGGTTTGGCTAAATGACTTGTGCTTATCACATACGGTGAGTCTTTAGTGGCAATTTAGCGTGAAATTTGCAACACAGCCAAAGCAAAGCTTGTCGTGTAGTGAGACATGAGACTTTACTCCTTTTAAAAATGATTCTCATTACTTTAACTACAGTCAAGCACAAATAAAAAGTCTGAGCTGACCCCAATGCTAAATTAGATCAAATAAACTACTAACAAACTCAGACTAATTGTGGGTGGCCCTTAAAATAGTTTTATTAAAAAAATGTTTTAAAAAATGTTTTCTTTTTTTTATAAATTAAATAATCAATTACAATTTTTTTAATGATTTTTAAAAAATTTATTGGCTTAACTATTAATCAAATTGTTTCCCAAATGTTTTTTTTTATCTATTAACTGAATACCACACTTTTAGGTTAGTTTTTGATATGAAAAAAATGAGAGAAAGTATATTTTAATAGAAATTTGGGCTTCTTTTTTCCAACTTCACGTCATTGTACACTCAGTGTCTCTTTGCTTTTACAATCTGAGACTGGGAAAATGCTCTGGTAAATAGACATACTTTTGTAACAGGATACCCTTAAAGTGAACGACCGAAATACTGTACAGTGCAAGTGAATGACTGAGGAGTCAAAGCTGAATTTAGGCCTTTAAAGGGCACTACACTCAATAATTAAATAAAAGACTAATTAAAAACTCGTCAAGTCAAATTAGCTGAGATTTACAGAGCGCACAATTTTAAATAGATATACATTTTCACAGCAAAAGTTGATAATTAATGTTGCATTTCTGTGCCAATATCTTATACCACAGACATGGCATCAGTTTCTTTTTAGGAACTGAATTGTGATATTGTTAACATTTGCATCTTCCAGAGCATGTAGCAGCAGATTCTCTGGACCTTACTAAAGAAGGAGCTCATGGTTTCAGTCCTAAACCACAGAGATATCTGCAGCCAGAGCTGAATTTATTTCTGAACTGATTTTTTTTCAGAAGCACGAACCCAGAACAACTGTGAAGCCCAGAAGCTTTGACCACATATGCAGCAGAGGTTTTCAGGAATTGGAGTCATGCATATTTTCAGCTCAAATTTATCTTCACCGAATCTTTCTGGATATGAACAAAGACTGATGGCCAAAATGGGACATAGCTGAATGTGTCTGCCTTTTGAGAAGCTGTGAAAAGAAACTTTCCACTCCACTGCGGTTTTTATTCTGCTGAGATATTTTGAAGCTTGAACGGTGATACGTGTATAATTTGCTTTCTCGCGTTGTTCTCGCCATTTTAAAAAAGAGTTTTTTTTTTTTACTGGCTCTGGAAATTTACGATTTGTACTTGGAGAAGCCATGAACCTGGGTAAGTTGTCTGGCCTGAAGGGCCTGGTTTCCCACTCCTCAGGAAAGCGTCGTTTTAAAGGTGACCTCACCCCGGACATGATCAGTCCCCCATTGGGCGACTTCCGCCACACAATGCACGTGGGCCGCGGAGGGGACGTGTTCGGGGACACCTCGTTCCTCAGCAATCATGGTGGAGCAGGAAATAATGCAGATGGAGACTCCTCCTCCACTTCAGAGAAGAATGAGGGATTCTTCTCCCGCACGTTTCGCCATGTCCGCAAGACCCCCGACAGGCCCCGCGGCGGATCCAAGGACCTTTCACCCCCACCTCCACCAGTTTCTCCAATCATAAAGAATGCCATTTCCCTCCCCCGGCTGGACGTGGACTCACCCAACGGCTGTCCTGTGAAAGTGCTTTTCCCTAGTTCACCAAAAACACCTGAGAACTCCACATGCTTATATGGTGAGTCTGTCAATGTTCACACTCAGAATCAGATTCAAATTCAGAAGTGAATCCCATAAACTATGTGTGTTCTGTGTGTGTACAGAATACAGAAGCCGCTCCTGAAATGGTTGAACATGCAGGGCTGATCCCACAATGAAGGAATTTTAAATTTGAGATATCTAGGCTTAGAATGAAAATGAATGAAAAAATCGTGGTTTCCATGATGTATTTTTATTTATTTATTTATTTTGTCTAGTTTTACTCCTTTGTATAATATTTCATTTCCCAGAAATTGCTGTTTGGGAATAACTTGTCAGCAAAGTCGACAAAAAAATAATTTAAATGTATCAATTTAAAAGATTGGCACCTCACATACAGATGAAAATGTCCAGTTTCCAGACTTATTCAGTAATCATAAACAAATAATCATGGGAAATGTCATGTAAATGTATTGGTTAAAGGTGCATGGCGGTAAACCTGTACAGGGGAGACTCGGAGAGAGACAATATCAAAATTTCACAAATGTTTGTAGCACCACAGCTCAGACAAATGATCTAAAAGCGTCTAAAAGGATAGGGATGTCACTGCATTAACAAAATAAGTTCAGTTCTGTTGAATGTAAATAAAGTTTGAATGTGCAGTTTTTGTGAGCAAATTCTATTATTAAAATGAATTATTATTAAATAAATGTGTCTGTACCGAACAGGATTAAGCACTCAGAATAGGAGTAGGACAACCATATTTAGCAGTGTCTACACTAATGTTCAAACATTTGGCGTCAGTGAGATTTTTTTATTTTTTTGGAAAGAAATGAATGCTTTTATTCAGAAAGGACACATGCACAAAGGTGACTGTAAACACTTATAATGTTAAGATTTCTATTTCACACAAATGCTGTTTTTTCATATTCCATTCATCAAAGAATCCTGAAAAATTATCCATAGCAGGTTCCACAAAAATATTTATATCAACATTGACAATAAAAAGAAATGTTACTTGAGCACCAAATTAGCATATTAGAATGATTTCTGAAGGATCATGTGACACTGAAGACTAGAGTAATGATGCTGAAAATTAAGCTTTGCCATCACAGAAATAAGTTACATTTTAAAACAGAAAATAGTTATTTTAATTGTTATAATTTCAACAAATTTACTGTTTTTTAGGGGTGAATCAAATACATTCAGGCTTGTTGAGCATATAAAAGAGACTTCTTACCGGAAATCTTACCGACCCCAAACGTTTGAACGGTAGTGTGTCTCATGCATGTTTTGTCTAAATTAAATATGTTTGTTTACTAGCTTTCTGTCCTTTAGGGAAACACGAGGTAGATCAAACAGAAAGTATTTGATAAACCATAAACACCTGTGGCAATCCCAGACTCCTTTTTAGACCCAGACATTACAGTTCAGCGATCAGCGTCTGCCTCACCCATTGAAATACCTCAAACATGCCTCACTGGCTTCAAAAACAAAACCCCTGCATGCTCATAAACACACACCAAACTCACACCCAAACAGTCTGATGTTTATCCTTAGTTTAATTATCAAAATGTGACCCTGGACCACTAAACCAGTCACAAGTCGCACAGGCATATTTGTGGCAATAGCCAACAATAGGTTGTATGGGTCAAAATTATCGATTTTTTTTTATGCCAAAAATCATTAGGATATTAAGTAAACATCATGTTCCATGAAGATATTGAGTACATTTCTTACCGTAAATATATAAAATATATATTTTTGTGAGTGAATGCAGCACAATCGGGAACATAAATGGACAAATTTGAAGGCGATTTTCTCAATGTTTCGATTTTTTTGCACCCTCAGATTCCAGATTTTCAAATAGTTGTATCTCGGCCAAATATTGTCCTATCCTAACAAACCATACATCAATGGAAAGCTTATTTATTCAGTTTTCAGATGATGTATGAATTGACCCATGTGACTGGTTTTGTGGTCCAGGGTCACATTTAAGGAAAGTATTAGTATGCAAACTAAGTGTTTAATTCAGCTTACTGAATGACTCGCCATCGGACTGAACGCTAATGTTGTTCTGACCAGGAGCTATGAATGAGATGTTTTAGTGCTGAGCGCACATCCTGTTTCAGAGCCCTGTTTTCAATCATGTGAAGACTTTTTTTGTATCCATATAATGTACAACTATGCTGTAGATTGTAATTTCTGCCCTTTCTGTGACAAGTGTGCACTTTAGCAAAGCTTTTTGTAAGAGAGAAATATTTAAGGGACAGTTCACCTAAAATGTTTAATTCTGTTATAATTTTCTCACGTCCTCATATCATTCCAAACCTGTATAAATTTCTTCTGTGGAACACAAAAGAAGATTTTTTTTTTTTGTCAATACAATCCAAGTCAATGGGATCCAAAAATTCTAACATTTGGACCCCATTGACTTCCATTGTATTCACAAATACACTTTTCATTAGGGTGAGTAAATGATGACAAAATGTTCGTTCTCTTTAAGGGTAAATGAACTATCTCTTTAAGGGTATCTAGTCCAACCACATGGCAGAAATGATTTGCTACTTTTGCTTATGCTGCAGTCCGGAACCACTAAATGTAATGTGTAGCTTCTCACTGCCCTCTGTTGGTCAAACTCATAAGCAAGAACAATTTTGTTTTTCTTTCTTTGTTTTGCAGGTTTGGAGTCTGGCTTTGTGACCTTGCCGAGACTGTCACGCACTGAGCGTCCAGCCCAGGGCAGCTCTCCCTCAGCTTGCCCTCCTGAAATCCATAGAGGCTCGCTCACAGACATGGGTATCCCGTCCTTTCCCTGTTCAGACTCCGTCAGTCCTTCTGACTCCATGAACTCTTTCACCCTGGATCTGGGCCCTTCCCTCATGTCTGAAGTCTTTGCTATGATTGACAGCCCTATGTGTGAAATGGCCAGTCCCATCAGTGAAAAGACACCGTCCACCGATGAAAACTCTGAGGTGGACTCAGACGCAACCATGTCCCTGGTGGACTCGCTCCTGAGAGAAGATGATGACGGTAGGACGCGGTTGTATGGAGGAGAGTGGAAACATTCAGACTTTGTTAATGGTGAGTCACTCAAAAGGTCCATGCTGGGGGATCGGATGCACTCCTTCTCTGTTGAGGATCACGGCATGGAGCCGGAGAGTTTCCAGAGGGCTGCTGATGTGCTGGCACGTCATTATGGGAGTGGAAGACTCAGGAATACAAACACCAACAACTCTCACAGGAGAGAAGCATACAACTATGCTGATGAGGAGGATGAGATTAAAGTCTAACACTACGAGATGCCTAAAGTCCAAATCACACAGCACTTTTAAAGGGATAGTTCATCCAAAAAATACAAATTCTGTCATTATGTTTGTTCCATGTTGTTCCAAAACTCCACGACACGACAGTCAGTTGGGTTGGTACCCTGTGTTCTTCAAATTATCTTTGTTCAGCAGAAAAAGGTTCTGGAAGATTTGGAATGACATGAGGGTGAGTAAATAATGACAGAATTACATTTTTTGGGTGGAGTACCGCTTTAATAACGATCAAAGAATAAAATTTAAATAATGAGATATGACTCCAGAAGACCACAAGTCAACCACAAGTCAAGACAACAAGACTATTGTTAAACTTATGGTCGGATTTCTTTTTTTATTTAGGAGTCTAACATCCCCAGTTCTCATTCAGGATCATTTTTTGGAAAAGAGCAGCAAGGAGGGTGATGACAGAATTTTTTTTTTAGAGGAACTATTCCTTTAATAACATTTCTAAATGTTTGCAATGGGGAAAATGAAAGCTAATGGATTGTTATTTACCCCTGCATTCATCGTGTTTTGAAGAAAGTGATGAAAACCTGAAATATGAGCAGATCTACAAGGACATAAACTAATATTGGCATCTCAAATTTTCACTTTTGTTTGATCCTACCTTCTCATCCCTAAAATATAAGCTTTGTTCCAGGGAAATAAAACCGGCCACAGTTGCTCTGTATTGCACAATAAACAGCTGGCTAACAATGGTAACAGTATACAATTAAAATATGCAATATTTTAGTTTGCAGTATATTTACATTTCGAGTAAACCTTATGTAGTGTACAGTAATGCCATGTAGAAGCACAGACATATACCTGCTAGCTAACTTTTACTATGCAAAACACTTTGCAGTTTGCATTCATTTAGTTTTAATAGCTCATATTTCAATTGTGGATGACATTGTGTGGCAGTTTCATTTTTTAAACCCTTATTTCCTGGGAAACCAGCAATCTTTACAAGTCAAGACAAGGCCTACGGGTCACTGTGCTGCACAAAGCTGTGATGTGCTTTATGTTCTCACATATGCACAAACAAAACAGAAAAAATAAGCAACCATGACTGTCATTTCCTTTATTACATGATAAATATCTTCAGATCAACACAGTATTCAGTAATATTATGCCCACCAATGTTTATCAATGTATTATGAAACTATGATTAAATATTAATTTTGTTTGAATTTAAGTTTTGTTTATTATGATAGAGGAATTGACCTCTCCATTCATTCCCTTAATCACAATATAATATGTACAAATTTTACGTTTGTGCGGGTTTGCACAAGAAATATACAAAATAGCAATGTATGTTATCTATCAATGACAGCAATAAAGTTTTCATTAAAAGAAGCTATGAACAACATCAGCCTTAAAATGCTTTAATAAGTGTAAGTGCAAATAATGATTTGACTTATGGCGTTTCAAATGTCATGCTTCAGAATAAGCTTATACATAAATAGCTAATGTGAAGCGTGTCAGTACGCCTCAGACCAAAACCAAAGGAAGTCAGATTGTTATATTTGTATTTGATAGTCCCAAAAACCCGGATCTAAAACCCTATACAAGATAACCAAAAAAAAGACACACTACTGGTCAAAAGTTTGGGGTCAGTAAGATTTTTAAAGAAACTTATTTTATTCAGTGAGGAGGATGCATCAAATTGATCAAGTGACAGTAAAGACATTTAATTTCTGTTTAAAAAAAAGGTTTCTATTCCATCAAAGAACCCTGAAAATGTTTTATCAAGATTTCCAGCAAAATATTAAGCAACACAGCTGTTATCAACTTTGATAATAATAAGAAATATTTCTTGAGCATCGTATTAGAATGATTTCTGAAGGATCATGTGACACTGAAGACTAGAGTAATGATGCTGAAAATTCAGCTTTGCCATCACAGGAATAAATTACATTTTAAAATATATTAAAACAGTTATTTTAAATTGTAATAATATTTCACAATATTACTGTTTTTACTACATTTTCAATCGAATAAATGTAGCCTTAGTGAGCATAAGAGACTTCTTGCAAAAACAGTAAAAAAAAATCTTACAGACTCCAAACTTTGTTTAAAAGCTTAACCATAAGATACTGCACAAACTGTTAAATCCAGTCGACTTTCTATTCCAAGACTCACTGATCTGGAAAGGAGAGCTGCTTGTTCAGTGCTTGGGGTGGTTGTGGAGGAGGGACTTTGGGTCTTCTGCCTTGGGGTTTCTTTTGTGGTCCTGCTTCGGGCAATGTGGGTAGTGGAGCTTGGGCGATTTCGGGCTTTGGTGAAGGTGGGGGTTTTATTTCAGACCCCCTAGGCAGAGGAACAGGGAACATTCTCGTCTGGGCTGTGGATAAAATGCCTGCCTGGCTCACAGGAGGGCCTTTGGAGAGGTTTGATGTCTTGTGCTGGATGAACGACCTCCTTGCTGTAGAAATCAACTGAAAATGTAGTTTCTACTACAGTAATATGACACAGAAAGCTTTAATAATTGCAGACATACGTTTGTAAGGAGTAGAGATCTTCAGCATGGGCTCCTGGGACTGGGAGGGCAGCTCCTGAGTTGGCTCTGATTGGCTGAAGTACTTCGTCTTAGTCTGCGATTGGCTTTGGGCGTGTACCGGAGTGTAACGAGGAAGTGCTGAAGGCATGTAATTCTGTGTAGGTGGTTGAGTGATTGGATCAGAATCGTTGTTGTCCCACACAACAGCATCACGGATCACCTGACCAGATTTAACTACTGTCACCCCAAAGTCCTCAGATGATGCTGAGCTGAAATAAGCACAGCCAAAATAAAACAAGACTTTTGTAAACTTAACTCATTTAGGAGAGTCTTGACCTTAGGTGGTTCTATAAAGGAGGTTCCCTACCTGTCAGTTTTTGATAGGGATGGTCGACCAGAGGAGAGAGGGAGAGAGGGAAAGACGCTGTCAGAAAGAGATCTCTGGGACAGTGGGCTTTCAGGCAGTTCTGGGATCTCGAAATCAGCCTCTAAAAGAACATTTGATTCATTTGGAAATATTTTTACATTTGGAATTTCACAAATGATTATTGCAATTACACTCTTTAAATGATTTAAGCAACATTAAAAACATAAAACTTCCCAATTACATACAATAAAGGATGAACAGAAATGAACTGGAAGCATTAACCATACCAAATAGAATTTAAAAAAAAATGTTATGGCAATCTATTGCGGTTTTTACCTCATGAAGGCCCTGTTTCACAGACAGAGCTTAGATTAAGCCAGGATTGGGCCTTAATTCAATTAGGACACTTAAAAAGCTTTTCTAAACATGCCTTAGAAAAAACATTACTGGTATGCATCTTGAGACAAAACAATGGCAAGGACATATTGTAACTCTTTCCCTGCCATTGACAGAAATTTCAAGAAACGTCTCGCTGCAGTTTGTATTGGACATTCAACCCGGCCCACACTGTGATGTCAGAAGCCACGCCCAAAAGAAGCGTTTGGAATTTCCTTTTTTTTTTTATCGCTCTTCCTCATTAACTTTGAAACAGGAAGAAGCATCGAGAAGACTTAACCCTCACACTTATTTTTTCCTTTTACTTATATTTCTCTTTTAATGACAGACCAGACTGAAAACCTACCCGTATGCCTAAAAAACCCTTTTAATCTGAAACCTATATACTGAAACCCACCTAAAACCCTTATGCCTGAAACCCATTCAAAACCTACCCTTACAACTTAAAACCCTTTCAATCGGAAACCTATACAATAAATCAGGTTTCCGTGCGGAACGAGGATGGGGAGTCACAAGGTGACGTATTGGACATGGGTGTGGCTTCTGACGTCACATTCGGACGTGGGCGGAGTTTGATGACCAGCTAAATCTTAACTGTTTTATAGAGCGCTATTACATCTTCTGAAACAGTACTGAATCTCCTGATCAAAACAAACACATGTGAAGAAGCAGAAACAAGCGATAGCAGATGCATTATGTAAAATAACGCGATCATCAACATTAAACAGCATATTAATAAAAACTGCCTAATGTTACTGAATGAAATGTCGACCCAGGATGAGCTATAGGACTGAAGTTTTGGAGGTGTTGATGGACTCGGTCTACTCCATCTATGTTTTGATCATCGTTCTGAATCTGATCTGGATGTTCTCAGCTTTTTGCTCAAAATCTTGCTTTTTAATGAAACTTACCCACATTCAAGTGTTGATAAAAAAGAATGCATTAAGCTAGAATAAAACGTTTTTGTTTTGTTTTAAAAGCATTGAAAAGTTTAGATATTCATACAAAAAAAAAATATTCTGGGGGCCATAAAACGTTTGTGAAAATGATCAACAATGCTAGCGGTGGCTGGCAACTTATTTCTTTTTTTAAACTGGCAGGTAAAGAGTTAATTCATTGCAAGTTGCTTTCAGTTAAAACAGCTCAAACATACATTTTAGTCGGGACTAGGCTTAAGCCTTGTCTGTGAAACCGGGGGGAAGTGAGGTGAACAATGACTTGTTTCTGTAATGACTTGAAAAGTAATGTTTCTGTACCTTCGGGAAAGAGGTTCTGGGAATACTGTATAAGAGGCTCTATGATAGTCACAACTTGCACCGAGGAAGCAGATGCCATGTTCAGCAATGATGTCTCTCTGAAATAGAGAAAAGCAGAGGGTTATTTCAGGAGATTGAGTTGTAGATGCATAATTGAGAAGTCCAGACTTGTGTTTGTGTGTGCTATACTGACCCCTCACAGAGAGGCCAGAGTAGATTAGGCCCAAGCACTATAGCAATGTTGCTGGGTGTCATCTTGTTCACTGCTCGCTGCTCTGACAAGTGTGACAAAAACTGGACAAGGTATCTGATGAAGAGAGAGAGAGAGAGATGAAGTCAAAGTTAGAACCAGAGAGTGAAAGTTAGGTGTGAACATGAACATTAATAGTTTGTGGTGGATATGAGAAAGTTGAAAATCTACCGTACCTGAGGTTATTGTAGTTTTCTGTGGGAAGTTTTTGCAACA